GCTCCTATTTGTCCGCGGTGACAGAGAGGAAAGGTGCTGAACGCTGCTGCGTCGACGCTTACGCTCCGCCTCCATTCACTGCTGTTTCCTCTCTCACGTCACACCTGCCCGCCTCCCTTGTTGTGCGAAAACCAAACACGAATTTTGCAGTGAAAAGAGGACGCTTCGTCACAACGACCCAGTCAGTGCTCAAGAAGGTCTTGCCCTCCAAGTGCGACGTCATGCTCTGATTGCAGTGAAAAATGCACTTTTTGTGTGTTTGGGGGGGGAGGAGGGGCACAGCTCGTGGACGCCAGTGTTTGCGTCTGCCCTTGTCAGCGAGATATAGGCAGGCGCGGACACGCAGACGGGCGGGCGCGGTTGGCTTCCTGGAGACGCACGGTGCGAGACATTGTTTTGTCCAACGGTCTCGGTCCGACGGTGCTGTGGCGCTTCTGTTGTTTTTGGCGGAGGTGGTGGTCCGCCGTCTGCAGCGATCACACACAGAAAAAAAGGCTGGATCTCTCTGGGGCATCGGGGAAGATGATGCAGAGGATAGTGATGATGATGATGGCCTCGACGATGAGCCTGGATCTCTCTGCGGCATCGGTCAAGACGATGCAGACGATAGTGATGGTGATGGCCATGATGATGATGCGCCCAGAGATGCGGCACGCCGCACGCGTGCGTGTACTCCACCTCGTTTTCACCCCGCCTCGGTCGATTTCAGCTCGGCCACCCACCCACCCTTCCGGCGATCTATTCCTCGTCAGTCACATGCCCTGACGAGGAGAGCAAGTAATAATCCACCTCCACCTCCACCACCAGCGGTGGGCTGAGTTGGTTGAGTTAGCCCACATTGATGAGGGACGGCACCTCAACTTGACGGTCGATCGGACTCTCGCGGGTACCTGGCGCCGTTGTTTTTTTTTTTTGAAGGGGGGGTGGACAAACTTAAGTTTTGCTATCGTGTGTTTGTTGGTATTTAGTATTTAACGTAAGGGTGGTTTTGGTTTTTGGCGATGAGCCGAAGCGAAAACGTGTGTGTGTGTGGGGGGGGGGTCGTGTCGCTTGGTTGGTTTGGTTCAGACCACGGGCTTGGCTCTTTTTTTTTTTTTTCGCTGGGCCGAGGCTATAGACAGGAATTTGTTGTCGTTTTTTTATTGCTTCGATGTTCGTTGAGTATTTTGCGCTTGGCGATATATGGAGGAGGGGGAAGGGACACGGTCGGTGGCGCCACGAGTTGGTTGGGTGGGTGGTAGGCGACGACACACAAATCGTGTACGTGTCATGTGTAAATGAGAGAGGACGTCTGGTTCATCATGGCGGCACACGTTTCAGCACAAAAGAAACCAGAGGACATTTTCAAACACTTTCTTCTTTCTTTTTTTGCTATTGATCTCCAGGGGAATGGGTTGTGCACCGTACGCGAGCTTCGAAGAGCCTGCGGCAGAGCAAAAGTAGACGGGAAAAGAGCGAAGAGAGCGCAGAAGAAGCGTTCTTTGCCTTTGATTTACGCCCGGGGTAGGAGACCAACTGAGTGTATGGATGCGTAGACTAAGGTCAAGCCTTTTGTATGTTTTCTTGGCGAAAATAGTGGTAGCGGAAAAATACGATTTTCCAATCAGGAGAGGTTCATTGTTCGACGTGCATATAGAAAGAAAATGTTTTCGTGTCTTGCTTTTTTCGACTTTGTGACCATTATTCATCACATTTCGAGGGGGAAAACACAAGTGAATTGGCGAAAGAGTTTCGGGTTGTTGGGCCCAGGAAATCTTTTTGTTCGACGATATCGTAAAAGTGCTTGGGCTGTTGGGCGTGCACGGTGGCACTTAGCGGCTTGAGTTGTGACTGCACACTTTTTTTTTTTTTTTTCGCAAAGCCAGGAATTCTGGCTACAATCTCGTTTCTCGTTTGTATTTTTCCCCGTCGGGCGGGCAGCTCGATTTTCTTCCCGCAAGTTTTGGGAACTTACATGTGTGAGCTTTTCTTTCCGTCGGCGAAAGAGGGTAGTAGGCACGCCGCGAGGTTGGGACCGACCGTGTGTGATGCCAATAGCGAGCGATGCTATTGTTTCGGTCGAAGCGATTGAAAGACAGGAGGCGATACAGGAAAGAAAGGAGACCAAGATAACTTGATCAGTTGTTTTGAGAACTTGGTTCTCTACCTACCGTGGGATGTTGGATCCGCGGACGACGTGAAAAGAGAGTTTTTCGGGAATGATGCCCAACCAAGAGCGGGAGATAGTTCTTTCGGAACTTTTTGAGAACTTTCCTGGGAGCCTTCCTTGTGTCCATGGAGTCTCGTTTGTGACAGTTCATGCGCGGAGGAGGGTGGTAACACTCACTCACCTGGCAGTATCGGCGGAACAAACAGGAGGGGGGGGGGAAGCTCAAGCTTTGGACGGAAAGGGAGGAAGGGCGGGAAAATACCATCCGGAGGCCCCCCGCTATATGGCCTGGGACCACCTACTACGTTCATAGTAGCAGTGGCGGTGAAGGCGAAGATTTTTTTCTTCTCTTGTATCTATTTGCTTGTAACTTTATTGTCTAGTAGTCTAGTCTTTTGTTTTATCCCTGTTTAGTTTTTTCTTCGCAGTACAGCAGTAGTAGTAGTATCTGCAATGTTCGCGCTTGTTTTGTCCCCCGTGGTGAACACGGCCATTTGGACTCACCATCCTGGGGGCTTACTACCTTGTTTTTCGACCGGTCATCCACCATGCGGTGGGTGGGGCGGCAGGTATTGCAAGAAGGGTCTCACAATAACACTCTTCTTTCAGTAAAGGGAAATCCAGAGGTTTTTTGCATGACGACAAGGGAGCGAAATTGATCCAAGATCGGGAGCACACGATTTTTTTTTCGTTTGTACCCGTATCAAGCTCACCGTGCTTTTACAACTCGGGGATGTGTGGATACCTAGATATGGATCTTCCCTGACAAAGTACGTACGCACATACAGACCTAAAGAGCCTCGGATTTGTGTGTGTCCACGATGGCGCACCCCAAGGGGCTCACTCTCGCACCAGCTTAACCCTTCTGGGACTCCAACGGGAATTTTGTGATCACTGGATATGATCATTTCTCATA